AACCATTTCATGATTCTGTGATTCTTTGGAGGCGTGTGCTTGCATTTCCTTGCAGAACATGGTATTTGCCGACTTTCTTGTTTTCACAACAACTTTTGTGGGAAGTGGTACGCTGCGTGGGCCCAAGCGAGTGGCTCAGATGTCATTGCCCCGCATTGCTTCCTGTCACCGTTCGAAATGCTTTTTCATTGAAGGTCTGCAGCCTGCTCTTTGTCCTCCTGGTGGTCTGTATAGTCAAAAGAATAACCTGTAAATTGTGTTTAGCCTAGCCCTGTTGAAAACGCTAGATTGAAAATAATTTATAAGGAGGGCCATGAATGCAAACTTGGTTTGCTACAAAGCTCATAAAATAGAAAAGTAAACAATTTTAAGGAAGCTGCCAGTTTCTACACCTTTATCTTCTGTTCCACAAAGGCACTTTTTCATTTGAGTTCATCCGGTGTAATTAAAGAAGGGGCTTTACACCCCTAAGTTATCAGAAAAATGTGATTTGAAGTTGTAGCTTTAAGACTTTCTGGAAAGTTTAAATCTCTCATTAATCAATCTCAGGGTTGTTTTATGGAAAGACTACTAAATCTGACAAGTTTGAATGGGAGGAGGTGTTGCCAGATGGTGTAACACTGTATCCAGGTGTACCAGAGCAGAAGGAAAAATGGGTTGTGATACTTGTTTCTTTAGTACCAGTTCTGTAAGATCTACCACTTCTTTCATTTGCACTCTTTTAAAAAGAACGAACATGTTTATGGAAATAAAAGTTGTTGTACTTACAGACAAATGTGAATTTGGGAACCGACACTTGATGCATCCAACAGTGAAAGATTTCCAAGACTTTGCTACCTGAGTGTACAGTAACTAAACCTTCCTTTGCCAGCTTCTTAAGCCACATTTTTTTTGAAAATTTTCCATTTTAGTGATTCATCACCATTCCATTGGTGATTCTTCTCAGAGCACCATTGTTCCTTTGACACAGGCTGTTTGTTTTCAGCTGATAAGTACTTGTCATCTGTAAAGCCATCCCTGTGTTTAACATAACACGAGGGAATAGTTGTGCTCCTTGTTCCATATGCTTCCAGTCCCCCTGTACTGCGTGATAACGCGCATACGCTCTTTGTTTCTGCCCAGCGTGCCGTGAGCCCTTCTGGGTTCCTGTTAGTGAGTGAGTTGCTTTGTTCTTTAGGCAGTTGAACAGCTGGAATTAGACCTCAGTATTAGACTTCAGGGGTACGTTGATCTAGGATGTAAAAAGAAAGTTAAAAAGAAAACCTTTTTATGAAAACGTTTGGGTTTTTTTTTAATTGGGATGTAGGATACTGGAGTAACTTACCAGAATGGAGTGGCATGCATGTGCTTATCAAAAACTGATTGCTATCTCTGGGGCTTGGAAATCTCCACCTACAAAACGTGGATAGCAGTCTGTAGCTTTCTTGCGTTGCCTGCCTCGGGACTACCGGAGACATGACGGTATGCAGGTGGAGGGATGAATCTCGTCTCCACTGACTTCCTGTCTCTGAACTGACCCGAGAGCTCATTCTTGGTTTATACTGCTTATTCTGTTGCCTTATAAACACATCTGATTTCTGTCCTTGGCGTCGTGTTTCAGCTGTGAGACTGAAAGGCAACGCAACCTCTTGAAAAATTGAATTCACGTGGAATCTGGTTGCTTTGCAGATGTAATGTAGCAAAACAATAGGTAATCGGGGCTGAAGTTGTAATAACCGAGGTTTGTTCTGGGTGGAATGTGCTGGCTTTTATTAGGAGAAACTCTGAATAGAAACCATTTATTTTTGGCCTTATGCTCATCCTCTAAACGTCTCTGTCACCTCAGGGCTACCTCTGTTTGCCGTACATGGCCCTGCAGCAGCATCACCTCCTGTCAGATGTGACAGTCCGCGGCTTCGTGGCAGGAGCCACCAATATCCTGTTCCGTCAGCAGAAACATCTGAGTGACGCAATTGTGGAAGTACGAACCTTTGCATCTGAACTTCTTGAACCTAGAGAGAGGAGAGGGGGGAAGTAGGGGTTGCGTCTTAAATACAACCTTGAAGTTTCACATTCATGCCCAGATTCTGAATTCCTTCCCTAAGAAATCAATTCACAAATGCAGAAACTTATTAAATTGGTATCATTTCTTAGCATAGGATTGAATAAGATGTGCAAAACTAGCGCATGTTATTCTGTATAATCTTACATCCAATATTTGAATTTACAGGGCGCTGTAGATTTTTGTTGCTGGCATAATTTTACTTTTTGTGTCATGGGCTTTATTCATGGCTGTAATAAGGTCTTGAAAAATGAGCGCTTGCAGCTGAGAAACAGCGTTGGCTAATAAAGCACAGTGCTGTTGCCTTCTTTCTGATTTAATCAAGAGGTTAAAAACCCAATATCTAAGAAATCCCTGCGTCGGCTCCAGCAGATAGATACAGCTGTGCAGTCAGCATGTCGCAACCTCAGGTAGCTGCATATGGGTAGTCAACTTAATAAACTGAAGTGCTAATCGAAGAGTCTCAGGGAAAATACATATAAGCCCTAAACTTCCCCTGCCACATCCTGTCAGATAAGGAGCTTTCACTATGTGCCAGTAAGACGGTCGAATTCTGGTTCTCTCAGGGCAGCGTCTGACTTTCAGAGAATAGTTAATTCATTATTTCTTTGGCCATTTGCTGTTTTGGGGAACTCTGGGTTTAGATTTAGGTAGCAGTATATAGTAGTCTATACAAGGAGTTTTATCTAAATAAATGTTTACCCTTGGAATTATTTCAAACAGATAGAAGATGCTCATGTGCAAATCCACGATCCAGAACTCCGTAAGATCCTGAACCCAACAACCGCTGATCTGAGATTTGCGGATTACCTGGTGAAGCATGTAACCGAGAACAGAGATGATGTTTTCCTGGATGGCACTGGCTGGGAAGGAGGAGATGAGTGGATCAGAGCCCAGTTCAGTGCTTATCTTCATGCACTGCTCGCTGCTGTGCTGCAGCCAGGTAGAACAGATACCTTGCCTAGAGACTGAGATGAGGGTGGGTGTAACAAGCATTTGCTCTGTTGCATTAAACGTGTGGCCTGTTGCTGGATCTCCCTCGGCCTAAGATTGCGTTTTAGGCCACTTTTTTGGTTGTCCTTGGCTGTCCTTATTATTCCTTGACAAGCTTATTACTGATTCTTACGTCACAGGTTTTCAGATGCTTTCTTCTTTGCCTGTCTCCTTCTCCTTAAGCTTTCCTCATAAGTAGGAGTACCTGAAACCCCATGTATGATGAGACTTTACGAACTTGGGTATCTTACAGACTCTCTTGCAGCCTGAAGTTAATTTTGGGGAACTAGTTTTATTCAAGGAGACATGAAGTTAAGTGGCTGTCTTCAGGAATTTTTACTAGGCTATTCCATCTCTCTTCCCTTCCTGCCATGGCCTTAAATAGGGAATCACGTAAGTGGAAAGTGTCATCTAGAGGCTTTATAAACTTGTGCTTTCTGGAGCTCAACATTTTTCATCTTAACTCAGAGGGAATTCTCTATGTTCCAGCCTTTTGTGCTTAAATATAACTAAAAGAATAAGTGCTTTATTCGTGGAAAATGTTTAGTTTGCTCAGCACTTACTCTGTTAACTTCATTCTCACCGTGATTATTCTCTCTTCATATCAATTAACTAATTCAGGTCTTGTGCTGTGGTACTTGTGAGAAAGCACAGGATTGAGAACTTGGTGTTAAATTCTGGAAGATGCCAAGTTCATTTTCTGACAACATTAATATTTTAAGATAACTTACCTGGTTGGTATGAAATGTCAGGGTTTTCTGGAGACTCGCACTACTTCATTGACTGGCTCTAAAATGATTTCCTATACCCTTCAGTGTTTTAAAGGGGGTGTTGTTATGATAAATGTAACCCACCGTAGTTCATACTACTATTTTGGAGTGGATTTAGGGTTTTCTAACTTCGAATGAGTAACAACATACTACAGCAACGCCTGGTGTATGTGACCAAGACCAGTGCAAACGATGGCTTTGCTCTTAGTTGCTGTGTGGCAATTCTCTCCCCTTTTCTCTCACTTCTCAGAGACTAATTTAAGCAAACGTCATAAATTAATTAAGATAAGTATTTTTTAAAACTTTTCCCCCAGCTCCCCCCACCTCCCTCCCCCCATCTTGTCCTGGAATTGTATGTTTGAGACATTTGAAAATAACAAAACATTTTTGAAGTGCCCGGTTCTTAGTACTAGTGTTGTATTTGATTTGATAAAAGCTTGGAAAATCGTAGTTTTTCTTTACAAGGAAAAAGGTAATTTGTCTTCTATTACACCCCTAATGAATTGCTGCAATTTCCATCTTTATTTTACTTTATCAGACAATGAGAAGACTTTGTCAGACTTCGGAACAGCATTTGTGGCAGCCTGGAAAAATACCCACAACTACAGATTATGGAATAGCAAAAAGCATCCAGCCATTGCAGAGGTAAATTCTAGGTAAGGAAACTATTTTTCCTTCTTTTTCTTTTTAAACATTCAACAGGGCAATCTACTAGCATGCATAGTCAGGAACATCATTTTGTAGAATTACAGCATTCCCTTGTTCCTGCTAAAAAAATTTTGGTGGATGAAAAGCTGGACATGAGCCGGCCGTGTGCGCTGGCAGCCCAGAAAGCCAACCGTATCCTGGGCTGTATCCAGAGAAGTGTGGCCAGCAGGTCGAGGGAGGGGATTCTGCCCCTCTGCTCTGCTCTGGTGAGACCCCACCTGGAGTGCTGCGTCCAGCTGTGGAGCCCCCAACATCAGAAGGATATAGAGCAGTTGGAGCGAGTCCAGAGGAGGCCATGAAGATGCTCAGAGGGCTGGAGCCCCTCTGCTATGGGGACAGGCTGAGAGAGTGGGGTTTGTTCAGCCTGGAGAAGAGAAGGCTCCGGGGAGCCCTTATAGCACCTTCCAGTACCTGAAGGGGCTACAAGGGAGCTGGGGGGGCCTTTTTACAAGGGCCTGTAGTGACAGGACAGGGGGTAACGGGTTTAAATTGAAAGTGGGGAGGGTTAGATTGGATATCAGGAAGAAGGTCTTCCTGGAGAGGGTGGTGAGACAGTGGCACAGGTTGCCCAGAGAAGCTGTGGATGCCCCATCCCTGGAAGTGTTCCAGGCCAGGCTGGATGAGGCTTGGAGCAACCTGGTCTAGTGGAAGGGGTCCCTGCCCATGGCAGGGGGGTTGGAACTAGATGGTCTTTAAAGTCCCTTCCAACCCCAACCATTCCATGATTCTGTGATTCCGCAAGTACAGAAACCGACTATTTCTGTTCTTCAATACTTTGCTTTAATTCTGGGCTATACTTTTATGAAGAAAAATATATCCAGAGTCAGGAGGAGTGAAACTTGAGCAAGTTGATTGTTGGCTGTCCCCAGCTATAGATAGTTTGTCATTCTTCTGGAACTGTTCTCAGATGGTTCTGTGTTTTATTAATCTCTGCCATGTGCCCAGGGAATAGCTGTGTCTCGGGTGGTCAGTGGGGGATGGAGGGGAGCTGGCTGTTTTATGTTGCTGCTTCTATGCTTTGAGTGGTTTTACGTGTATTTTAACTCCCAAGATTAGATGATGCCAGGCTTGGTAACAGTATTGGCTGTGCATGTGTCTTGTTTAGCATGAGTTATTACTGTACTACATGGAGTTTTGTTTGCTTTTGCTTTGTCAGCTGCTGTAGTTTCAAGGAAGGTGTTTTTTTTTGTTTGTGGTGGTGTTTTTTGGGAGTTTTTTTGGTTTTTTTTCTTTAGACCTGCAAAGCTCTTTTGGCCTACTTGAGGAATCATTTTTCTTTATTTGCTCTGGGTTGCTAGGAGGAGGTGCTTCTACCTTGGTCTGAAAAGATTGTTAATGTCTGGTCTCTAAATAGAAGGCACCTTACAGGGGGTTCATAAGAAATCTGAGGTTGAATAGTCACTGGGACCTAGCCTGCTGTGTATCTACGGAAAATATTGGTTCCTGTGAGCCAGAGGGAGGAATGCAACTAATAATAAATGCTGAATGTCGTCTTGGGTTTTTCTTCCTCTTCTAGCCACCCATTCCAAGGACAGTACTCTGTATCAGACGTTAAGTTAAGATTGTCACAGTAAGTATGTAGTACTTTGATTTGTATTTTTTTACAGTGTGATCAAATAATACTGTAATCTGTGAATAACTGTGTGCGTTTCTGTTTCTGTGATGAACAGAATCAAAATACTGATTTCAACTGGCCAGGTATATGAAACCATACTCAACGTTTTCTTGCCAAACATCACCATATCTAAAGATGGAACATTTGCCTGAAATAGGGAAAACCAGTGCCGACGCACTGTTTTGTGTTGGACTGGACATAATAGACCCTGATTTTTTGCATTGCATTTATAAGGCTTTTGTACATTTATTTTTAAATTGCAAACTGAAGCTGTTAAAACTTTCATCAGTGTTTTTCTGTAGGTTGGCTTTAGGTAGCTATTGGGAGGAAACAGCTTTTTTAATTAGCTTTTTTTTTAATGCAGCATTGTTCTAAACCTCTCAAAGTTCACTGTATGTATACTGAGACATGGTTCAGGTTCTTCAGCTTAGAAGTTTAAAACTAATTGTACATATCCTCTTACTGGCCCACACTCAACCAAAGTTGGAAGTTGGTCTCAGCTCTTACCTGTAGTATTCAGGTCTGAAACTCAGCGGTGCTGGTTATACAGCTCATAGCTGTTCAGCTCTAACCGAAGCCAGGATTCGGTCTTGGAGTTGCAGTTAACTGTCTGTCCTTGTTTATGGACTAAACAAAATAGATAGCTAAGTGAAGAAAACAGTGTTGACCATAAAACATCATCGACTGGTTCTTTAAGAAGCCTGTAAATCAGCCATTCATGCTGATTCTGCACCTGCCCTGACCGTAGGCCATTATTTTGGGTACTCTCTGAGCAGACCTAAACGGCATGCTAACGCAGAAGAACAGCCTGAGGAATAAAAAGGTTCAGACCCCAGCCCGCTGAATCTTTTTGTTGTTTTGGCTGACCAAGGACAGATTAAACTTCTGTGATGGCGATTGAAAAAGCAAACAAATCAAGGTTTACCTCCAGATAATTGTGTTCAGTAAGATGCATGCTGATAGCAGCTCTTACCATTAATGGCTAGTCTTTGTAGAAAGACTTAATTTAAAAGATGTGGAGGTGTCTATAATCATCTCCTTGCCCTATTTTTGTGTTTGAAAGGGGAGATACTAACTCCAGTACCTGAAGGGGCTACAAGGAAGCTGGGGGGGACTTTTTACAAGGGCCTGTAGTGACAGGACAAGGGGTAATGGGTTTAAATTGAAAGTGGGGAGGTTTAGATTGGATATCAGGAAGAAGTTCTTCCCGGAGAGGGTGGTGAGGCACTGGCACAGGTTGCCCAGAGAAGCTGTGGATGCCCCATCCCTGGAAGTGTTCAAGGCCAGGCTGGATGAAGCTTGGAGCAACCTGGTCTAGTGCAAGGTGTCCCTGCCCATGGCAGGGGGGTTGGAACTGGGTGATCTTTAAGGTCCCTTCCTACCCAAACCATTCTGTGATTCTTCCAAGTAGCCCGAGACCAATGTAAAAGGACCAGTAGTCCTTCGTGTGTTTCTAATAACAAATATTTTTACAACGCAGCCTTTATTCTCCAGGTGTGACTTTGCTATCAGATCCTCATCAACATGACTTGCTTTTGCAAACTGGACATTTTGCAAACATGTTCTTGGTGTACTCTGTTGTCTCTTTGTATTTCTTTGACGAAAGCATGTGTGTAAACTCTACTTGCTCAAAAATCTTACTTAGAGCAAGATACAAAACTCTGTTTAGAAGAAAGAATAACTACTAATCAGTGACAGTGTTTTGTCTAAAGCTTATATATTAGGGCTGAAACTTCTCAAAACTACTGCTTGTCTGACTTTGTAACTTCGAACATAAGTGCATTTTGGTAAACCTTTAGAAAAGGTATAGAGCGTGTTGTATAAGAACAAACCGTTGGGTGTTTTGATTCCTGTCTTGCTGACAGTGTTTGAGATGCTTGTCTACCTGATCTACATGCGTAAGATGCGTGCAGAAATTATGGCCTCGATCGTGTGTGTGTGTTTGGCAGGGTATATATATAAATATATATATGCTATCTAAATCTGTGTGTATATTGTAACTATGTATTTTATTTACACCTGGAGGTAATAAGAAGTCAGTCAACTAACAGCCTTCAGTATCTCTCTTGTTTAGCTCTGTGCAAAACAGTGAACGTGGAAAGAAGATTGGAAATGTGGTGGTTTCTACTAGCCGGAATGTTGTCCAAACGGGAAAAGCTGTAGGTAAGAAATGTGTTTGAAAGCAGCTTGCCTCTAAGTTGCATCCTTGTTTGAAGCAGCCTCCTCTCTCTCAGTTCTATTTCATTTTAATACAAGTGTGTTTATAACACAGATACAAAACAGCAACATTTTGAGGGGGAAAACTGCTGATTGAGCCCCTGTATATTGTGTATGTAGTGGGAAGAGGAGCAGCTGGGCAAAGAAATCGGTGTTTCCAGTGTGGGCTGGAGACAAACATGGGAAGAGAGATGTTAGGGTAAATGGTTTCACATAATCTGGAAATGCTTAGACCACAACACCACCTTCTGCACTGAGCTGTGCTCGGTTTTCTCTCTCTCTGAGTAAAACTATCCCGAGCAGAATCAAGTCGGAAGAAGACCTTGTGTCTTGTTGCTGCAGGTTTTGCAGCAGTCCGTAATCTTCTGGAAGAGCACTCGTTGCTCGCGGAACGGGGACGAGGTCACGCTGTCGCCTTGCGGTAGCGCGAGAGAACCCGAGTTCCCCCACTGAAGCATCTGACAGTTGTTCGGCAGTAGCTCTGCCAGAAAATGTTGAGGTCCTCCCTGTCGTTCCACTGGAGCCTCTCTGCTCTTTCTGCCATTGTGCGCTCCGGCGAGGAGCACCCCGAAGCCTAGCAAGCTCTACGGGGCAAAGGACAACGCGAGCCGTTTCTGCTGAGCTGCTGCTTTTGAGTTCTTTGAATGTTTTCTGACACAGACTCTGGTCTTGGATTTTAAATCCCGAATTTGACAACTGATTGTATTTATTTATGAGCTATTTCTTTGTAGCAGCTTAGTAATGCAAGGCTACGCTACTGACCGTCTGTCTTCGTTTCGTAATGTAGGCCAGTCGGTCGGAGGAGCCTTCACAAGCGCCAAGTCAGCTATGTCATCGTGGTTTTCCACTTTCACGCAGTCAACCCAAAGCCTCGGGGACTAAGCGACGGGTTTTGCGTAACGCCGCTGAGTAGTTCAAGCGCAGTGCTTTGTCCCAGCTGTACAAAGACCGCTCCAGAACGAAGGAGTGGAGGTGAACTCCCCAGGACCAAAACAAGGCGTACCTTGCTTGAAAGCAGACGTGGGATGCTCTCATTCAGTGTCACTAGAGTGTAGAAGAATGGTGTCTCCATACGATGGGATGGCATTGGCAGAATATGGGTTGTATTTAACGTGACTACTTTTCTTTAAACCTGAGCCTTTATAAAGACATTAGCAAACGAGGCTTGTTGCAAGTCAAGCGTGTTGGACTTTTGTACATTTCCTTGGATGTTGAAAACATTTATGTAAACTAGTTATATTTTTCAATCCAAATAGCCAAATGTTGGTGAATCCTTGTTAGAAATGAGCAGGGGATAAATACTGATTCCTCTTTCAGGTTGGATTTGAGAGTATCTCTGCAAAAAGTATACAGTGGAAACCCTCAAAGGGTTCCAAGACAGGTGGAACCTGCAAACTTAAATCGGCAGAGTGAGACTGTGGCTGACTTTAAGGGTGTTTTTACCTTTCTCCTCTGTAGCCACGTACCGTTGTTTGCATTATCTGTCTCTAGCTTTCCTTGTGTCCCCAGATCTGTGTGATACTTGCAAAATCAGTATTTTCTTGACATCACGCTGTAGGCCTTCGTAACTTCGCATATGTTTCGGCTGTGTTTTTACCCTGGGACGTGATTGGGATTCCAGTTGGAGAGGTCTCCTCAGGAAAAGTACTGCAAAACAGTTCTCCCAAATTGGGATTGGATCGGTGAGATTTTTGGGAGGTCTTGCTCTGTTAGGATGAAATTCCACTGTCTGTGTACCTACACGCCTATGAGTACAAAGTATTAAAAATGCCTCAAATTAGCACAGCCGCAAACTCTGCATGTTGTCTAGTGAAGTTACGAAGACTCTTCCAAACAAAAAATAGCTGTATTGATTTTCTGTGTCTACTCAGGGAATGTTCTGTTTGGATAACTACTTTTTTCATTAGGAAAGTTACACTAGAATTGAGAGGGAACCGAAACGGCTCACTCCGTACCTTTGCGTGAAGAACTGTAATAGTTTACATGAAAAGATGAGGCATAATGCTGGATTTTGCACGCAACATGCATGCGGTGTCTTCTGTATGCAAGCATATTCCACTTCCTACATTTCCTGATTCTGAGGGAGATTATTATTTCCTGTTTCTTGCCATGTGTGTGCCTCGATACGCCTTCTAGCATCCCCACGTGATAGCTGTTAGCATCTCCTCTGTTCCATTACCACGTTCCAGCTTTCTGTAGTAAAAGGCTCTTCATTTATGGCCTCGTCAGTGCCTGTCAGCACCTTGCCATGTTCCTTGCTGGTTAAGGATATCAAGTCATGGTTCTGCTGTTCCTCAGATAAAATACAGCAGCTGCGCAAGAGCGAAACGGGAAGGGGTGAATGTCATTTGTTTTAAGAAATTAAGTTCTGATTTCTTTAGGCACGTTTGAAAAGCTGATCCAAAAGCCCCGCTTGTATCGCGGTAGTTACTGTCCAGCAGCTTTTCACGTGCTTCAAACGGCAATTTGAAGCGCTGGATCTGGTTTAAAGCCTTTATTAATTGTTTTTTCCGGGACAAACTACATAGAATGACTGTGGAAAACATGAGAGTATACGGCTGGTTTGAGTCGATCCATTTGAGAAGGGCAAAAAAGGCCCCTCATCTGCTGCTGACGTACAAGTTAAGTGTATTTATAGAACTGCAGCTACTGCTCCTGCTCTCTGTGTGTATCTCCTAAAATTCCGGATGCTCTTTTCTGTTTTATCCCACAACCCTGTAATAGATACATCTCTTTCAAAGGCTAAGTAATAGTTGATTCACAGGAACAGCTCGGGTGAAATAATTTTCACTGGGCTGCATTTATTCCTTAGGAGTCTAGAGCTTTCTGATTTAGCATGCAGGTAAGAAAATAATCGAAAATAATCACCTGCTTTTTGTGAAATGAAACGTGTTACCTGCTGCCAGGAATGTAGGCTTTGTGTTGTGCTGAAGACTGAATAAAGGTGCATAAAGGATTTAAGCACCTATAAAGCTAACTTCAGGAACTTAAGGCACGCCACAGGTAAATTTAGTCTTAGGAGCTCACGGTGGTGTGTTCCAGGAGCTGGGCAAATGTACACTTACACGAGCAAGGTCTTCCTCACCTCATCACCCGAGTTTCTCCTGCAGAATTCTTCTATGCCCCAAATCCGCATCGCCGATTTGTTAGCTCTCTGCATGCCCCGTTCTCCCACAGATCCCTCACTGGCCCAGGAATACCGGAAAGCTGACTTTTACTCGGTTTTGGCGGACGGGGCTGAGGAAGGGCAGAAGGAGGTGCCCTCTGCAGTGCTAAGCTGACGCACGGCTGCTTGCTTATGACACTTCTCAGCATTTCTCCTACAGGCAAGAGCACCAGCCAGAGCTTCCTCTGCAGTCTCTTCCCTGGCTGTGCCAGCCGTCTTTGTGGAGCCCAACATACAACCCCATGAGGAGGATTTTCCTCTCTTTACGAATGAGAACAAGGAACTTCTATTCATTTTCAATCATTTTAAGATCTGGCATCCGGCTAGGGAGTAGAACTGGGATTTAAACCCATACAGCAATACCGGCTCGTGCAGCGGGTGGAGATGAAGTGGTCTCCCTGGTATGTGGTCTTCATGAACACCTATGTTTGCTCTTGGGCCTTTGCCCAAACGTGCTTCTGGGCTGTGGGACAGCACGCAGCCACCGAGGTTCGTCTAAGCTCACGTAGTCCTCTGGATTTCATGGCTGTAACCTCTTCACTTCAATCCAGTGCACACGCAAGTTACTTTCCTCGCCCCTGTTATTACTTACTCGGAAAGGTTTAGGTGGCTGGCTTCCATTTCTTCCCTATTTGTGGCTGCCGACGTGCAGCACCAACTGCCTTGCAGGTAATACCACAGCGCGCCCCTCAACTCTCTGGCATCGAAGGCATCAGCTTCCGCTCGTTGTGCGTGTCAGAGTTCTGAGGAACCGGACTCCTAAGTCTCCAAAACCCCACAAGACGAAGTATTGTTGACCTAATATTTCATTTGACTACAATGTTCAGCGTTTTTCATCCATCACTTTCACATCAGAACCTTAATTCCTGTGCGCATCTGACGCCTGTTTCCTCAAATACCGCAGCCTAATTAGGATTCTTAGATCGGTGTTCTAGTACGTTGGACTTGTTTGGCCTTCTACATTGTTTTAAGCACCTTTGTACTTAAATTTAGTATTTTGCCTAAACAAGGTTCTGATTTCCATAGAAATTATTACTAAGAGGAGATACTAAGGTGGCAGTATTTAACTGTAAAGGTGAAGGTGTGAATGCATCTTTTTAAACAGAGAAACTGTTCTTGGTAATTGAACACACAAGTAATGTATTTGATTTGTCTTGTGCTGCTTGAGAAATAAACACATCCAGCCCCTCTAAAGTCCTGTCTGCTCAAAAAGCTGTATTTTAAGAAATGAATCCCACCCGGAGACACTTGCAGGGGTCTGGTTGTGATACTGACAGCTGCCTGTAATGCACGGGCAGTCTTTGAGGCTTGTCTTCCGTTTAAACTGATTGTGGGTGTCGCGTTTTGCAAGTTTAGGACAAGAGGACCATCTGGGGTGACTTTCATTCCCTATTGTGTAGTGCTCAGGGTGAGTTGATCAAAGACTTCAGCAGGTCACTGACCTCTCCTACCTCAGCAAGAACCTCTGCTACGACTGTAAAATTTTTGATGTGGATTTAGCTTCAAAATAGCAGGTAGCTCATGGGGATTGTGACACCTAGTCAAAAGTGGCATGCTGCGTAAATCAATTGCTGCACATCCAGTTCTGTGCCGCAGTGAGTTGTTCTAAACTTCTACTCTGTCACTGTCACCTAGCTGAGAATGGTTTGGTAAGTTGCTCTTTCCAGTAGGAGGAAACTAACTGTGTTGAATAAACATTCAGATGTGACTTAGCTGAAGCTTATGTCTAGAAAATGGTTGCAGTTCTCTGAAATTTGGTAAACATCTTTTTTTTTTTGCAGTTAGTTGTGCAAACACCCTGAAAGATAAATTTACAGCACGTTGTTTACGCAGTGTGATTTTAATTTCCTGCAGGCATTTTCACTTAAAAGGGCCACGTGGAGAGTATTCATTAAAGGCAGAAACACTACGTCACTGTGCTATGATTAAAGATACCTGGCAGATTGCTTCATGGTGGTCGGAGTCTTTAATACTATAGCAGAGGAGAGACTGACTTTAAACAGAGATTTAGTGCTGTCCTGTTTCTGATTCTCCTGCTCTGCTCTGGTGAGACCCCACCAGGAGTGCTGCATCCAGCTGTGGAGCCCCCAACATCAGAAGGATATAGAGCGGTTGGAGTGAGTCCAGAGGAGGCCATGAAGATGCTCAGAGGGCTGGAGCCCCTCTGCTATGGGGACAGGCTGAGAGAGATGGGCTTGTTCAGCCTGGAGAAGAGAAGGCTCCAGGGAGACCTTATAGCACCTTCCAGTACCTGAAGGGGCTACAAGGAAGCTGGGGGGGACTTTTTAAAAGGGTCTGTAGTGACAGGACAAGGGGTGACGGGTTTAAATTGAAAGTGGGGAGGTTTAGAGTAGACATCAGGAAGAAGTTCATCCTGGAGAGGGTGGTGAGGCACTGGGACAGGTTGCCCAGAGAAGCTGTGGATGCCCCATCCCTGGAAGTGTTCAAGGCCAGGCTGGATGAGGCTTTGAGCAACCTGATCTAGTGGAAGGTGTCCCTGCCCAGGGCAGGGGGGTTGGAACTAGATGGTCTTTAAGGTCCCTTCCAACCCAAACCAGTCTGTGATTCCCCATGAAGTGATGTCATATGTGTGTAGCATCTGTACTCCAGTGGTTTAATCTTTGTTGTGATGAACTTGGGGCCTACCTGTCTTGTTGAGTCCTCCTCTACCGGTTCAAAATCAGCTCATCATACATTGTTCCTCTTGTAATACTATTCCAAAATTGACTGAGAGAAAGTAAGATTATTTTTTTTTTTTTTGGTTACTTGCCTGCCTGAATGTACTGACGGATATCAATGAAAGCATAATGACTATTTCTCTTAGGGGTAGCAGAGA